CTCATGCCCTTAAATGGCTGTATTGCTACACTCCAGTGTAGCAACATTCCCTACTTTTCCCTTTGTAAATAAATCAATAGTGATATTGCCCAAACAGCTTTCTTCAGGTGTTTCACTGTGCAATGCCTTAAAACCTGTTGTGCTCTTGGGAACAGCTGTTTTATCATATCTAGATAGAGTTTTTTAGGTTCATAAGATCCAAGAACAGAATCTGTGATCTTCTTTTCTTGTTTCTTATTGATTCCTAGTCTGGTGGGTTGACCTTGGATGGACCCCAGGTGCCACCAAGCTGTTCTCACTCCCCTCTTCAGCAGGTCAGGGGAGAATTAAAATGGAAAAAACTCCATGTGGGTCAGGCTAAAGGCAGTTTAATAAAGCAAAACCAAAGGCTGTGTGTGGAAGCAAAGGAAAACAAAAGGTTTATTATGTACTTCCCATCAGCAGGCAATGTCCAGCCAGTGCCCGGGAAGCAGGGTTTCAGTGCGCATAGCGGTTGCTCTGTAAGACAAATGTTATGAAAACAAATCCTCCCCACCTACACTTATCTTAGCTTTTATTGCTGAGCTGACCCCGTACAAACACTGCTTTTCTGGTCAACTTACAAAAGCACATACGTCAACTCTTTTGAGAGATACTGACGCCTGTGAAAGCTATGATACTAACCTTGAAGCCCAAATGATGAAGGGGTTAGCCAGGAGTTAGAAGGAAACAGTGTTCAGTCTGTTCAGAATATACAGCAGTGCAGGTGTGGTAAATAGTGGATTTACAACAAAGAAACAAACCCCCTGGTGACAAGCTGAGATGGCACATCGAAATGCAGGAGTGTCACGTTTTAGTCTCCTGTGTGTCTCCCTCTGAAGTATCACACTGTGCTGCAAGATCTGGACATGGAGGGATGCATCACAGGGCTGGGAGGAGGTAAGTGGAATCATGAGGAAGCAGATGGATGGCCATGCATCCTGCTGTCACAGGGGGTGTCTATTTCTTCCAATAACTAAGTGTGTCTAAGCAAAATCTAGCCATTTTTAGGAAGCTTTTTATTGCTCCTTTCAAAGGTGCTCTTTGCAGCTGGCAAGCTGTGTTGTTACTGTTTATTAATGACTTCATGTTGGCATAGGTTGGACTATCTATTTGCAGTACCTTTCAGATGATGAGAAAATACTAAACCATATGCTAATCTCTCCCTCTTCTCTGGAGAGCTGATGCAACCAGCAGCAGCTTTTGCAGTGCAGTAGACAAGTTGTAACTCATCCTCCCTGATGATAGAGAGATAAACTGTGTAAGTTGAACTGTATGTAAAACCTGGCTAAGGAAACGTGTCAAATGAGGTGCTGTAAGCTCAACTGTCAGTAATAAAGTCACTAGTTGCAGGTACTTTGTCAGACACACACAAAAAGTGTCTTTCATGGCTGTCAGTGACCATATTGTAGCATACATGAAAGCTATGTAACACTGGAATCTACTTAGTTGCATGGGGCAAATCCAGAAATAATTTTAACTACTCTTCACTAAAATTACACCATATGTTCAGTCTGAAAATACTCTCAGAGCAGAGAACGCATACCTTCCATGTTTCAAAGTGATAAAACTTGCTGAAGATGTCAAAGAAAGTGAAGATTTCCATTTCTTCCTGCCTCTACCCTCCCACCATCCTGCTGGCTTGTTGAAAAAACAACATAACTGGTAGTAGAAAGTGTTTTCTAAAATAACATGTGTATCATTGACTTCTATCTAGATTTGTGTTTGTATTTCAGGGTTGAGGGGAGATTTTTATGAGATACATTATTTCAAGCACAATGGTTAAGCACAGCACAAGTATATTCTAATGTTTTGCAAAATATAATATAAGCTAAGAGGCAAACAGTTATTAATATTATATTGTCACACAGTCAAGTTTTGGCTGTATGCCATGTATTCCTGCAGGATTGGTACCTAGAATATCAAATGCATTTAAATATAGATTGTAAGTAATGGGATTTGAGGTGCAAATAACAAATAAATTGTCCTTCATTTATCTGATAAAGAAAAAACAAGTAAAGTTTTCAGTAGTGTATTTGTATGTGAGATTTTTTTCTGATAAAGAAGCAAGAGAAAAGTTTTTGATTCTGCCATAGTTTCAGTGCAAGTCTACTTAGATACTTGCCTTGTCCCATCTTGCTGCAGTTTAAGTATTAGAGCAGAGAGATCTGATGGAAAAAGGGGCTGTAAGTCTATGTAGTATTATCAATAATTCCAGAAATAGAAAGAAACCATATGAAGAAATTATTGGCATTACAAGTAGTAGAAATATGTGCTAGTGAAACCTGAATTCCTATGGAAAAATCTATAGCGTCCCTTCTCCTGCTGTGTGATTGTGTTACCAGATGTCCCTTGTGTTTCCTACCTGCCTGACTGGGCAGATGGCAGCCTGAGCGCCTCATTCATAGCTGTGTGCGCAAACTGGCCAGCTGGCTGGTTTTGGTTTTATGTTGTTTAAGAGAATAAGGGAATTAATTATGACTCTGTGAGAAGTAGTACTTATAAATTTGGCTGGTTCTGTAACCAGATACACACTTCAACAAAAAATGTGGGAATTCAGTATCTAATCGCCTCTTTGTTAAATTTGGCTGGAGTTGACAGAGAGACTTTGAGGTTAATAACTACTGGAAAATTAATAAACAAGCTGCGTAATTTTAAGTTGTAGGTCTGTTTTCCTGGAATTTCAGGACACTTGCACATCATCTTCCCAATTATGTATTTTTAATCCTGATGCTTTCTTAATAAGGAAGGCTTAGTTTTAAGAAATTTAAGCCTTATCTTCATCCACATATATGAGGAATATTTTATTACGTGCCACCATGAATGTTCGTTACACAATCAAGGTCCTCTGCACAGCCCCAAAGGGAGCTTAGAGAGGCAATGGCGGGAGGGGAGCCCAGGCAGATCCCCCTCTGTGGGGCTGCTCCCAGGCCCATCCCTGGAAGGGATGTGCATCCCAGAGGAGCACAGGGGTACAGGCGGGAACCCAAATCAAGGACCCTCAGGAAGGGGCACCTTATCCAGGCCCCTGCCAAGGCAGTCCCAGCAGAGCCTCTACCCAGTGTCCTGGCGTGACCCATCATGGTGAGTTGCAGAGCCTCTCTGTCAGACTGAGGGGATTGCTGCCCACTGCTGGGACACATGGGCTGCAGGGAAAACCAGTCTGGGATCCCACAGGACTTACTATGGGATGTTTAGGGGAGGAACCAAAGGTGGAGCAAAGTGTGTGTTTAGTGGATTTGGGGAATATAGAGGGGTAAGGGAATGAAAAGGGCTGGTGGTGTGTAGGCAGTTGGCTGGTCAGTGCACTTGTCTGGCCATGTGCTGCACCTAATCAGTGCTGTTGGTCCTGCTCCTTATTAAATTTCTTCCTGGCTCTGACCAGGGTGAGGGTTTTCTGGTTGGTGTGTGTGCAGCCACTGCGGTGTCAGTCCATGGGGTGGAGGGTCCATGTGTTCGTGGGGCATTGCTGAAGCAGGTGCAGGTGTGCAAGTGTCTGATGGCCAGCGAAGATCAGCCTGGATGAGCTGGTGAAGTGGCCTGGGAGCAAGGGGATCCATGGGTCCCTGAGGGCAGCTCTGTGTGTGACAGCACCTGTATCTATAGGGGTGAAAATGTGGTGGGGTCAGGTGTGGGACCAGGGGAGTCCTGGTTGGCTCTGTACCCATGATGGACTGTACTGGCAAGTTGAGCCAGCCTGTGGCCTTGGGGCTCATATACCTGCAGACTGGGGGTGGGGAGACTGGGACCCAGGGGACAGCTATGGGGAGGACCAGCTGCTGGAGATGTCCACCTTGTATGCCTGAATGTATGTTCTCGCGGGTGGTCTTTCATCCTGCCCCGCCAGAGAGGGGAGCAAGACAAGACCTCTAGTGCTGCCCATGTTTGTGTGAGTGCTGAGTTTTTCTCGTAGTGTATACATGTGCTCTGTGCATTTGTGCCTGCTGGGAATGCATCTTTTCCCGCGCTCCTGCTGGGACCTGGGAATGCTGAGCAGCAGCAGCAGCCTCACCTCTCCTGGGCTGTTGTATCTCCTGTGGTATGTTTTCCTCTAGCAGTGAAGAAGCAAGTTAAGTATTAAAATACCTACTGAGCACACTTTTTATTCAAAGGTTAATTATCTTTTTAAGCATGTAATCAAAATGTTAGGGAGAAAATGATTCCTTATTCATTTTTACCAAATCATTCTTACATTAAAAAAATTCATAATTCTGTCCTAAAACTCTTCTGAAAATACCAAAGTAAGCTGTAAAACTGAAAGCCAGAGAGGTAAACATATACAAAAGTATGCCTCCAGTGACTTGTGGTTTAGTGCCTTGCCCAGGTAGAGGTGGCATCCGAATATTTAATACCTCTCAGTGGATTTTTCTCTAAATCTATGTAATGGCTGTTGAATTCACATGTACTTGCCCATGGCAACGAGTTCTGTAGCTTTGCTGCATTACGTGAAGGAGCATTTCTTTGGTTCTGACTGTGCTGGTTTCATTTAATAGGCGTTAGTCCAGGGACAGGCACAAAGGTTGTTTTCGAGTCAGGATTTTGTAGATGTTTTTTCATTGCTTGACCTTAAAATTTTCTGGCTCTGACTATTTGTATTTATAGTAAAATTACTTGTAGCAAAATAATTTGGTATAATTTCTTTTCATGAGGTGATTTGTTTGATTATAGAACTAAGCTGTTCCCTTTCCCACTGCTTTCCAAAAGGTCAGTGGACTCTGTCTGCTCTTTGTACACTGATGAGTCCCCTGAGTCTCACTGTCTGTATTTCATTCAGCAGAATATTTAATCTAACATTCCCTGGGTCTGCAGGATTTGAACCGGAGCTGGCTGTGAGCCTCACGAAGGCTGCAGAGACTGGCTACTGAAACCACTCACTGCTCAATTGGGAGCATCTCTGTCCTTCATCTGATTAGGCACTTGCACACCATGTGATGGGATTCTACCTGCAACATGCCAGAGATGTTGGGTCGTTTGATAGGGGAATGATGTGGCTGTGTAGCCTACAGGTGGTTCAGAAGAGTCTTTATGGCCTGCTGTTGCTGAAAGCCAAGGTACTACCGAAGCAGGAGGTGGAGACAGACTGAATGTGCCTACTCAGATATACAGCACCATATATCTAGCTAGCTAGCTAGCTGTAGATACTGACTTAGATGCATTGCCTGTATTTAGTAACCTGAAGTAGCTGTTACCTCACTGAATGTGGTATGTGGATAGTCATATATATACAACTCAAATCTAGTTTTATAATTTTCAGTTGATCTTGCCCAAGATTGTAGCTTCACTGTGGGGTCTGTGTTTGTTCACTGTGGTTTGAGGACTTTGTTCTTTGTGGTGTAGTAAAAGTTAAATACCAATTAATGTTATCTGAAGCAAAACTCAGGTTTGTCTTGTTTCAGGTGGACAAAAGATGTAATTACTTTTGGTGACTGTAAGCAAGGTCTCTCTCTGAATTCTGAAATTCCAAATCATTGGTCAAAACAACAACTCTTGCCTGTTTTCTCTGGTTCAAATACATATTGCTGCCTGGGCAGAAATATCTTGGACCATCCCTCTAACCCATCTTCCTTTCTGGAGTCCAGCTCAATGTTTTTACTGAAGTGAAATCCTGACCTCATGTTGTTTGGTGTTTTCCATCTCCAGTCTTCTCTGGAGATTGGTTCAAATGTGTTACTACATAGTCTTCTGAAGCATACCACCTCCTGGGATTGGCTTGATAAGGGCAATGCATGAGCTCTCAGGTATTTTATACCTTCTACAGTGTGTTTCCTAAAATGACCTAAAGCAGTGCACAGACTGGGAACTGCTTGGGTGCTTGTGAACAGCTTGCTTTGAACAACCCTTGATGCTGGAGCAGTCTCTGCTGGGCACTGTGCTTCCTGCAGCAAAGGTCCAAGTGGAACGCTTTCATTCATGGTTGCAGATGGGGCACAGCAAAGTGCTCCTGTCTTAGCTGCCTTTGTAGG